ATAATTTAATTATTTTTTAATGTTAAAATGAACAGCATACTTTTCAAATCGATATATTGTGTGGAAGAAATACTTACAATAACTAACAAAAGTTTAAAATTTTACTAAAAGGAAGAGAAAGAGAAAGCACGATTATTTAAAAAGATATTGAACTATAAATAAAATATATATTTCTTGTAGTGAATATATAATTTTTTAGTCAGACTATATATTTAATTGATATTTATTTTAAAGAAACGCATTAAATTCAAATCGCATTAAAATCATTACCGTATAGTGTGAAATAAGTGTGAAACTTATTATCGAGGTATCAATAATGTCATTTCTCTCAAACATGTTAAAATGCTTGAACCGCGAGATATACTGATCGAGCGTTAAACTTGATAGTTTTTTTTTTATTTTGTAACTATGTCGAGAGAATAGAATCTTGAGTTTAAATCCTCAACAAGTTGTGTGAAGAATACACATTCTTTGGTAGCATTAATTCATCTGCATGTAAGTATAATCGAGAGTCATTGGCCACCGATCTGTAGGATTCAATGCAAAATTTTCACAAAGTTTCTTTAAGCATTCGCACTATGTTGATTAATATATTTTTATAGATGTACACTCATTTTTTCAAGACATTGAAATTTTAGTATTAACGAATAAGAAACCTTTATATAATAGTTACTCAAAGATTTTATTTGCAGAAATTTAGCAATCGTGCATGTCGCAAAACATGCGCCCACACAATGTTTAATTCAAAGTCGAGATATATGTATATATATTTTTCATATTTCACTTTTTAGATAGCACACAAATCGAGAGATCTACTTACACACAATTCCATTTTTTCTTCCGTTTTTTCTTCTTTTTTTATTTACAGTAACTTTGCGAGATGCTTACGATAATGTACATAAGGTATTGTTATATATAAAATGTATATGACCCTCTTAGATTCACATTTTAATGTCACAACTGATAATTGTCCATGATCCTTAAGATCTATGTAAAGATTATAGGGAAAAGATCAAGATTGCTTTTTAGCTTATCGTAATTATTTCTTCTCTACCATAAATAATCTATTTAATCTACGTCGTATGTGTACATACTGGACGTTGATCGGTACTTCTCTCCTTATTGCAAACGATAAAGTGGGAATGAAACAACATTAGATGGAATTATATTACGTTTTAAATAATGGATAACGTGTAAATACGAGATTAATTGTAAACGTAATTAACACGGAATGCTAATACTCGCGGCTCGTTACATTTATGTGAAATGAATTGATGTTTAAGCGGTAGTGCGGATCTACTCTCTTTATCTACACTCTTACATCTTCTGCGTTTATAAACCGAGAACAAGAGATACACATGTTTGGTTAAACGGAAAGCAGAGTGTTGCAAAATGCAGTTGAAATTGATGGATCCATTGATGCATTCTGTGAAAATGATCTACGCTATTATTTTATTATCCAGAATGAATGTAACACTTTAACACACATAATACGGACGACGTCGGAGGTGTATTGATCTATAATAGAGCTTAGTTTCTTTGCGGTTCTTAATATCGATCGACGATGATAGAGATGACATTTTGCCTGATGACTACACAACATCCGGACAAAATGTACATTGATACTGCTAGGCTAATTAAATATTAGTGCTAATTAACAATTAAACACTGATGCTATTAGTTCTGTCGTTATTACTCGCATCGCTATTTCTGTCGAATAGAATCGCTAGTCTTTTTCGTTACAGATTTGAAGAAAGAACGGTAAATATTGTTTTTTTTTTAAATATAATTTCTTTTTTTTTTCAAACATGCGATTTTTTATTTTCGTTACGAAATAAATTGGCGAAAATTATTATATAGTACAATTGGGCCGGATCTTATCAATAGCTCTGTCTTTTGAAGCCTTTGTCGGCTCGTATCGGCAATCGCTTTCATCACGTTCTACATTAAGTTACATTAATAGCTTTTCGTATCTCAATAGTACGAATAATCGTCATAGTTTGGCAATGAATACTTTTTAGATTCAACTTAAGTTCAACTTTGTTTCATTGGAGCACGGGCGAATGTACAAAGCAATGTTGGATAGCTTCGCATTGCGTGTTATTTTTATATGAGCCAGAGGAAAGATAGAGAATAGCGAATTTACAAGATTAATACAAAATGACGCAATAATCTTTGACAAGCTGTTGTTAATAACCGTGCTGTCGCAGACATTTAACTGAACTATAGAAAGAAAAGTATAATTCAGAGGAGTATGTTAAAAAAAAAAGAAAGCACGGATGCAAATTTCTTAAGATATTTTGTATGCATGTGAAAGAAGAACGGTTCTGTCAAAGTCATTATTGCAACATGTATCTGTAAGGAAATGAAAAATGGTTGTGTGCAAGTTTATTATACATAATTATAATGGACGTAAACTTACTTTGATTCAATGCAATTGCATTGTGTGAGTAATGTTTGAAACAATTGCAAATGTGAGATGTATGAAAATGTGTATATACATATATATGTATGAGAAAGAAAGAAGGTGAGCGAGAGAGAAATTAATGAATTGCAGAATATAGAAGTAAACATATGTAATATACTTATAATCACGCGACGTAAGAAATTTTATTTTTTATTATTCCGCTATGTAAGAGAGACAAGTTCTATGGAAGAACCGTCTCGCTACAGAGACGACTCGGCTATGGAGGACTGCCACTTACAAAATAGCATTTTGTTCCTTACAATAAGAGACAGTTTTATAAAATTAAGATTACAAGAGAGAGTGAGAGAGAGTGAGTGAGAGGGAGAGGGAGGGAGGGAGGGAGGGAGGGGGAGAGAGAGAGAGAGAGAGAGGGCGAGAGAGAGAGAGAGAGAGAGGGCGAGAGAGAGAGAGAGAGAGAGGGCGAGAGAGAGAGAGAGAGAGAGAGAGAGAGAGAGAGAGTATTATCTTCCGCTTTGTACAAACAGCTTTATTTATCGTTATAATTTTACTGGATAACATCAGGAGGCAGATTAGATATTATTTCGTGGATCATCCTTTCGTTATTTATTTCATAAACATATGTATTTGCGAATGTGTGTGTGTGTGTGTGTGTGTGTGTGTGTGTGTGTGTGTGTGTTGTGTTTGTGCGCGCGCGCGTGTGTTTGTGTGTGTAGTGTGTAAGATTATACACACATATATATATATATGCATACGCCACGTGATCATTGGATAAGCGAATGTTTAGTTTCCTGATGTCACCACTTGCGTGCGAGTTTACAAATCCTTGGGAATTTGGACTCTCTGTGATCGACTAGATATGCGATGTGTTTATCTACATGGAATGAATTAATTTTTTAAATCATATTGTGTCATAATCCGCCTATGACGAATCAGGTTTTTTAATTCTTTTTTCACGTTTTTCCTACTTACTTATTTTACTTATTAGCGCCGGCTACTTAAAGGAGAGTCTATTATTGTGTGATCACGAGGCATGTCAATCTACCGTCATATAATTATATATTTATTTTATACAAATATATTTTTTTATATATAATGATTGTAGTAACGATTATGTGTAGTCGATTCAGAGAGGAAAGGAGAGGAGGAGGGAGGGGGGGGG